TCTTCAGGTCTTTCTTCAGGCCTTTCTTCAGGTCTTTCTTCAGGTCTCTCTTCAGGTCTTTCTTCAGGCCTTTCTTCAAGTCTTTCTTCAGGTCTCTCTTCAGGTCTTTCTTCAGGTCTTTCTTCAGGCCTTTCTTCAGGTCTTTCTTCAGGTCTTTCTTCAGGTCTCTCTTCAGGTCTTTCTTCAGGTCTTTCTTCGGGTCTTTCTTCAGGTCTTTCTTCAGGTCTGTCTTCAGGTCTCTCTTCAGGTCTCTCTTCAGGTCTCTCTTGTAAGTGAGTCCTCGAGGCTCAATGGGACTAACCTGTTTAAATAAAGGTTGAATGAAAACATATTTGACCCGGTTCTGGACGGTAGTTGAAGATACTTGTGTCTCTTGGTGTTCCAGGACAGTCGGAGTGTCCTGTTGTCCTGCTGAGGTGCGCTTGAGCCGGACCCTGAACCTGATCCAGGTACTGGTTTCCCCTGTGCCACCTGCAGCCTGGAGGTCTTTAGTCCGTCCTTCTTCAGATGGACAGAAAATTAAACGTCTCCTTGTTCACGGTAATGTTTGATTTAGGAGGAAAACAAAACAGAACCATTAAAAGTGACGGAGGAGTCAGAGGACGCGTTATTTTCAGGGTTTGGGCCACGTTCAAACATATTTTCTGGATTTCATGAAAACATTTTCTGTAAAAACAAAAAGTAAATCCTCAGAGGTCTGAACAGAACCTTGATAATGTGAAAGGTTTTGGTCCGTTCATCCCGTCAGGGTCTTCCTGTTCCTCACAGACTGAACTGTTTGAGTTCTGTGCAAGCCTGACCTGGGACTGCAGGTCCTTGGTCAGGACAGACCATCAGCTCAGGTCTGAGCAGAGCCTGACTCAAGGTTTCATGAAACATGTGGAGCTGCAGGAGCAGCTCTGTGCTTCATGTGATAAGAAGCCTGTTTACTCTGGACCCTGTTCTGGACTCTGGTTCTGGACTTCCTCTGTTCCTCAGCAGTTTTTCTGCTTGATTTAATCTCTGATGAATGTTGGCCGTCTCAAACAGTTCTGACCGTGGGAACAGATGCTGACCATGGGCCAACTGAAACAAAGAGGAGGAATGAGCCGATGGACCTGACGGAGGACCGTAGACGGCCAGAACCTCCTGCCCCACAGCTGGGACCCTCAGTGGTTCTGACACTCAGGAAGAGTCTTCTGCGGTGCTGGAGGCAGAAACGAGTGGCCGGTTTGTGAAGCTGCAGTCTGAACGTTCATGACCTCCTGTAGGCTCTTCACATTGGTCTCTCAGACCTCCCTGCGGTCCCTGAGGTCCAGATGAAGGCTCAGTGTGGCCGTAGTTTAAATCAATGTTGCTGACGTACTGTAAGCCCAGATCCCATGAGCTTAAGAGCCAGGGAGGCCCAGATCCCACAGGGCTGCTCATCTGGGCTTACAGTCACCAACGCTCTGCTTCATTTCGGCTTCGCCCTTTAAGGCTGTCACTAGAGGGTTAAAGGCGAAGCTGAGTCTGTGCCTCACTGTGTCCGTCCGGAGCCACAGATATCTGCTTCTACTCGTGAACACGCTGAACCTTGGGTTCCCGCGTGCACACCACTGAGTCTGTGCGCTCTGAGCAGCAGAGAGGGCATCATCTTTGCGTCAGTCTGAAGGCTGGACCGTCACATCCTGCTGCCGTGACAACAAGCAGCTTGGAGAGCTTCGGTGAAAACATCTGTGTGGTCTCTCTGACTGAACTCTGAGAACCGAGTGGACGATGGAGAAGCTGGAGGCATCACGTAAATATGAAGGGATGAAAGGGACCGGCGAGAACCATGATGCTGCAGTACAAATGTCCTGTCCGTGCAGGGCCGTGGAGGCTGACAGCAGCTGTTTGAAGACGCTGACGCTTCAGTGGTGTTTCTTCTGCAGGTTCTTTGATTAGAGCACGCAGGTCAAGCACTGAATCCCAGTGAGGAACCGATGGGCGTGACCCTGGTCTGTGTCTGCGCACGCCTTTCATGACGCGTTTCATTAGCAGGTGGTCCTCGTTAAGACCTCATGACAGGAGCAGACGCTGCCGCGCACGTTTCAGTCGTGCTGGAAGACGAGTTCTGTCCATCAGAGCCGCAGAGACCACCTGCAGCTCAGGGGACACGAACAGGACACACATGTCCTTCTCCACACGCCATCGCTGAGAGCTGTCCACTAACATGTCCACTGACATGTTAACACGCTGGAGTGGAAGTGGCACGAGCGCGCTGGATCGTGCACACCACATCCTGAATGTTTATTAATGAAACTTTATTTTAATTAGTTTATTAATGAATATTTCATTATTAATTAGTATATTAACAAATATTTGATTATTTTAATTAGTTTATTAATTAACTGTTGATAATTAATTAGTTTATTAATTAATATTTATTATTAATTAGTTTATTAATTAATATGTTATTATTAATTCGTTTATTAATGAATATTTGATTATTTTAATTAGTTTATTAATGAATCTTCGATTATTAATTAGTTTATTAATGAATATTGTATTATTAATTAGTTTATTAATGAATTTTTGATTATTTTAATTAGTTTATTAATGAATCTTTGATAATTAATTAGTTTAGTAATTAATATTTATTATTAATTAGTTTATTAATGACTCTGATTATTAATTAGTTTATTAATAAATGTTTGATTATTAATTTATTAGTGAGCATTTAATCATTGATTGGTTTATTAGTGAATGTTTCATTATTGTTGCAGTTTTTTCATGGATCTCTTTGACCCAGGTCTGGGCTCAGCTGAGTCCTCTCTGTTTTAAATTCTGACCTTCTTCTTTAGTGGATCATGGTTTCTGTCATCAAACAAAATGCTCATGAGAGTCCAACAGAATCCGAACCAGCTGGTGCTCCTGGAAGCCTTGGACCGCTCTGTGTGGACTGAGCGGATCCGCTGGTCCACTCTGGTCCAATATAAACCAGGTTCTGAGAACAGAGAGCGAGTTCTTCTCAGCGGTTCTCCAGGCATTCAGTCCAGATACTTTTACACAATCTGACCCACAGGCAGGGGGTCCACATCAGGGTCCATCAGGGTCCACGCCAGGGTCCACGCCAGGGTCCATCAGGGTCCACATCAGGGTCCATCAGGGTCCACACCAGGGTCCACACCAGGGTCCACATCAGGGTCCACATCACGTTCCACACCAGGGTCCATCAGGGTCCAC